AGTAAAACATTTACTATCGCCTTCTTCAAAAAACTTATACTTCGGTAATATCCAATCTTGGGATATACACAATTCTTGCAGTGCACTTACCGGATTAGATTTAAAATTTGCATCTAATTCATTGTCTGAGAGTTTTTTTCTGAAAAGAACCATACGATTTTAAAAATGTTTATATTAAATTGGTTTCTTATATATATATGTATACTTTTTATCGTTAATAGTAAACTTAAACGTTGTGATTTGATCCAAATTTAAGATGTTTTTTATGTCGCTATGATCGGTGAATTTGGCGGTTATTTTGCAGCAGTTTTCTTCAGTGGAAATTATATCGTTCTTCGTCTTATCTAGGTGATTTGATTCTACTTCGAGATCACTTGAGACAGTCTTTGTAAATGACACGTTATCGATATTAGCTTCAAAGATTTTCGTTGGTTCTGCAGTTGTCTGAGTTTGTTGGACTTCGATAACATCAGAGGCTTTTTGAACAACGCCATCAACAACACCGACGAAAGCCAGATTTTCATTGAGTTCAGTCACACACAAATCGAAGAACTTATCACAGCATCTTGTATCCACTATTTCAGCCTTCACAGATTTAGTTAATTTTTTGATAATATTGTAGCTTTCGTTTCCATAGTCAAACGACACTATTGGACATTGTTCAAACTCTTTATCTAATTTTGATACCAAAGAATTTTTTTCATTCAACAACTCTTTGTTTTTCTTCTTCAATAACTCATTTTCTTTGTTCAACTTGTCCAATGTATTTTGATGGTTATAAAAATTTGATTGATCAATTCTCGATGGATTATCTAAAAGAACACGTTTGTATATTATTGTTTTACCTTACAATGTAGATTGACTTACAGATTTCGATATATTATTAACTGAATCTATAATTTTGTTACATACCTCCAAATTCTTTTACTCTACTTTGGAACTGCTCACATTTTTCTCTCAAATTTGACAACTCGTTATCCTTCAACTGACTTTGAATTTGAAAATTAGCTGTAAAATAATATTACGCTGTTATAGTACACTAGAAATACATAGAACTTCTATAGTATTCAGAGCTTGTAATAATCAGCTACTTTTAATTTCGCTGATTTCTGATAATAATTTATTGATAATCGCCTTCTGAAACTCGATTTTGAATGTAAGCTGAACCATAATTTCATTATGATTCGAATTCATTGCATCCAGTTTCATAAAATGCGATTCTTCTACGTTGTTCATACATCTATCGTCTTGTTCTACGCAGGTAACAGGGCTAACGCAATTATTACTCATCATGAAATATAATAACCTGTAAATTATAAAGTATATTAACTATTCGTATAAGTATACTCGTAGTTGCTTTACGATTATAATAATAATAAGAAATCTAACTGATTATGTATTATACTATGGTATGAAATAGTAAAGCAAGAGACCGTGGTATTAAATTCTTAACGAAATTCAATATAGATCATAATAAACTTATATTGTTTACTAAACAACATTTATACATTTATAAATTAGACTTTGTTATATCCAAATAAGACGTGTTCCATTTGAACCAGCTAAAAATTAATTTTAATTTGATATTTGCCAAGCACAAAACTCCACTTCACTGAAACTCCACTCTTCTTACATTTTATAACTAGTAATTACTAAAAAGTGAAATTTTTTCAATCGACTCCTAGACACAAATAAAGATACTAATTTTTTTTTCATGTTTTAATAGTTTTTATTTTATCATTATTCATTAACTATTAAAAAAATTTGTTTTTTAATATCGAAACTATTCATTTTGTTTAACTTTTGATCAAATCACATGTTTTTATAATTACCATAATTTTTTAAAATTATGAAATGTTTATAAAATACAAATGTTGTTATACATATTCTCTTTAATCTAATGGTAATCCTCGTAAAAAAGTACCTACTTAATGTTACCGATTTCGCAACAAAATCTCGATTGAATTTTTTCATAGTTTTCTCAATGACATGAAAAACGGTTGAAAATTTAATAAAATAATTATCTTCCAATAATAATATTAGCTACATACTAGTTATCATATGCCTCCCATGATTGTGACGATTGGAGCGAATTTCCACACGAAATATATCGAGATGAAATGATGCAATGTTAGTTAGAACGATGTAATTTTCTAATAATTGTTATTTGCTTATGAAGTCTATGTGTATAGAAATATGTGTGTATGTGTATAGAAAACAAAAATGAAAATTAATGGAGATGGTCGACGCTTTAAAAAATTCTGATTAATGCATACTCAGTGTTAAAAATAATTATAGTCAAGTCATCGATTACGGGAAAAATACATGACAGTATGTATAATAATAATATGATGGGTATGATGGGTGATTTATTATGATATATATATATATATATATATATATATTAGATTTTACGTCGACATTCGTATTTTATATAAAACTAATGCCGAGTGTGGTCAGTTCTCGTGAAATAAGAGGCTACCATATAAAATAAAAAAAACTGTTTATGATTTTATGTTTTATGATTAACTGAAAATGAATATAATGATTGAATCACAATCATTCTATGAAATTGTCAACAACTATAGCACATGGCATAAAATGGAACACGCTGCATTTGAATGACATCGAAGTAAAATTAAATTCATCATATCACTACTGTAACTATTTAATTTGCTGGTTACATTGTTTTATTATAAAATCATATGATTCACATCGTTTGTAATGTTTTTTGACACATGGTATGTTATCTACGAGTGATAAGTTTTTTTGAAAATTATTAGTATATTGTTTCCTAATTTTTGATGTAACAAATTATGAATAGGCATATAATTCTTTAAATACATAAAAAACACTACGTTTAATTTTTTATTTATTTTTTCCGATATGAATGAACCCAATACCGTCTTTTTTTCTATTATTAGCGTTGTTCACATCGATTAAATTCATTGATGCCAAAAGACTATCGTCGTCCGACGAATAAGAGAATTTATTCACTACCGTCGCTATTAGTTACTAGATACATAATTAAAACAAGAGGCAAACGCCATAAAGTCGTTGGTCATATCATATATAATTTTATTGTCACACGCTTACTGCATCACTTACCGCGCCACACGTCAACGTGACTTTGATGGGCGTTGGGCCTAAGAATAAGTAACTTACACATGGATTACTATTTTTATTTAAACATAAGTTCACCGTCATCAATATTGATTTTAAGTAATGATGGGTTTACACGTTATATCGTAATTATATGATTCAAAGTTTATTGCGATTTTTATTCAAATTAATTCAAATTCGTTTAAATAGAATGAAAAGCGAGTACTGTTTACAAGCTACGATTTCTTGTCCAATATTCCCTGTTGATCGCGGTTCACTTAGACCTCAGTTCACCATCAAGCACAATCTTTCCACAATGCAAACAGTCAATCAGCGGCGCAAACAGGGGTGGTTAAGGGGTTGTAATCCCCCCACCGAAATCTCTTCCTTTATTTAATTATTTTAACCAAGTTTCACAAATAATATGAAAAATTCTTTATTATTTAGGAACTGTGGGTTACAATGGTTACATATTATTGTTCAGCTACAGCTGTTCATGGGTTAACCGAGTATAATTTATAACAGTTTTTAACGAAATGTCTTCGATTACAGCTTCGCGATTTAAGATATAAAAGTTAAATCGTAGATAACAGTGTCACACGCAAGGTGGATATATATCCACCTTGGTCATACTGTAACAGTAACACAAAAAATATATTTACCAATACACCACTGGTTAAAGGTAATATATATAATATATATAATATAAAATTTAAAATATGTAATGTTATTTTACATAGTATTAATTGGTAAATACTACATTTGAAAACACTAATTTAAATAACGCAAAACGCTAAATTTTTCATAACGTTTTAATTGTCAATAACGGTAAACGGAAAATTTTTCAAACGTTTAAATTTGTATAACGTTTAAACGCTTAAATTGAATAACGTTTAAATTATTTTTAGCGTTAAACGCTCAATTGCTTCTAACGTTTAAATGTCCCATAACGCTAAACAATATATATTATTTTGATTTAAGTCCTGGTATATACTTAGTGAAAAATCAAATAAAACACAAGCAAAACTTTCAAAACACAGATGGGTGTTAAAAAAGAACTACATAAAAGACCATTTTAAGTGGATCCGGTATTAGATTAAAATAAAAACACAAATATTAAGGATTCACCTGATTTAAATATTACCAAAAATTTTACTTGTAAATGTTGAACCTGAATTAAAGAAAAAATTTGAGTCACTCCCCCCCCTCCCCTTAGAAGTAAGTCTAAATACGCCCCTGGATCAGTGTAATACTAAACGGCATCATATGGTACGGTCCAGGCTAATACAGACTGAACCTTACGAACCGGTTCATAAACGATCCAAAATGTTTTAAACTCGGACCGACAGTCCAGTCTACGGTCTACTTTATTAAATATTATTTAATTATTAGTCCAGTCTGGTCTAAAAATAATATGAAGCAGTCGATTCGGTCCAATTTTGGTCTATGATTAACGTTTAAGTGTGGTGCGGTCTGACTTCGGTCCCATGGTAACATTTAAAGTCCGGTCTGGTTCTTAAAACAATGGACCGTGCAGAGCACTAGTGTATATGCATGTACTATACTAGTATACAGGGCCGTAACAACCAAATATTACGCTTGGGGTGAAACTTCAAAATGCAGTGAAACTTCAAAAATATTATAAATAATAATTTTTCCTTATAATTATGTAAGCGTTTGTTAATTTTATTTAAATCAATAGCTTATTAAAATATAAATATATATAAATACATAATATTACTTTTAATTATAAGTAATAAGTTATAAGTAACAGTTTAACTGAAATTTTTCATTATTACGCCCTCACAGGAAGTAGGCTCCTTTAGCCCCCTCCCCCTTGCTACGGCCCTGCTATTATACCGTAATTTAAGTATTTTATAAATTAGGTACAAACTAAATGTTTACAAATAACAGGTTTTGTCTTTGGTACATGGGCGTATTAATTCTGCGTAATTGTCATTTTTTTAGTGGTTATCATGAAGATTGATGGCGACTTTCGTCTAGCACTATCATTTTACGAATATAATCGTTTTTTTTTATATTATGTCGCAGCGATGCTACCGTAGCTGACCACTGTTAATTAATTACATTTATACATTTTATTTTAATAAATATTATTAAAAGTATTTCAAAATTCTGTAAATTAATTTATATATTTGGTGGTGGGAAGGGGGAAAGGTGAACAATCAAATCCATTTTTACCCAACCTGCCCAATAAAGTAATTAGCCTCTCCCATTTAAAATTCCTAGATATGCCACTGCATTGATGCATTTATAAGCATCAACTAATTAAATGAATCGTTCATAGATTTTATTTTATTTTATTTTTTAATAGCAATCATTTCAGCCCTGAATCCACCACTGGGTGTATAGACGACGCGTATCTAAGACTTAAACATAAAGCATAATAAATAACAAAAAAAAAGGACAAAATTCTTTTAAAAAAAACAAAAATATAACATATTTATTTTTAAGAAAAGTAAAAAAAAAAAAATAAGCTTGACCAAAAATGTACATGAATTAGTTATAAAACTGAAAAAAAAAATTGCAAATTTAATTTAAATTAAAAAAAAATTAACTACCATTTATTTTACAAGATTTGCAGTAATGAAACTGACTCAATTGTTTGACAGAATGTTTTTATACGTAGAAAATGAACGCTCTATATCCATTGAAATAATCGGTACATATTTCATGCAAGAGATTTCGTTTGATGAAACGTCACTCCGTGTATTAATAATGTCAAATAATTGTTTTCAGTATTTATTTTTCAAAATAACACGATTTAGTTTACCCGAAATTGCAATTGCAATATCTTCATCGGTGAAATACATAAGCGCCAAAATGAGATAAGAAAAAAAAAGTCGTATCGTACAAAAGCGCCAAAATCGTATCATACAAAAACGCCAAAATCGTATCGTACTAAAGCGCCAAAATCGTAGGTACCTGTGAGCCTCGGTTAAATAACAGATATTAATTTAAACTGAAATTCCGGATATTGATTTTATATGAACTACAAATGCAGCTGAATCATATCATCGACATTTAAAAGATCAATTTTATGTGGCTCATTGTTCCGTTCATATAGTAATTGATGTATTATTAAAATTATAAAGCGAAAAATATTTATTTATGAACTCTCCTCGTATCAATAAATTAAAGATATCTCACGAAGAAATAATTGTTCAATGG